TTCACATGCATATGAGGTTATTGAAAATACCATGGCTTGGGTCAGGAGCACCTTTGTCTTCAAGCTGACATCTTTGCTCTTCAACACTTTAAAAAGATCTTGTGCAGCAGATTTGCCTAATGCAGTACGTCCTTTGATTTCTTGCCTAATGCAGTACGTCCTTTGATTCCATGAGCCTTGATAGTTGATCCAAAAAGAATGAAGTCCTTGAAAACTTCAGTCTTTTCTTCATTGATAAGAATGTTGTTTATTGGTCCAGTGATGAGCATTTTTGTTTTCTTTACATTGAGATGTAATCCATACCAAAGACTGTGCTCTTTGATCTTCCTCTGTGAATATTTTAAGTCCTCTTCATTTTCAGCAAGCAAGGTTGTATCATCTGCATATCACAGGTTGTTATTGAGTCCTCCTGCAATCCTGATGCCACATTTTTCTTCATAGAACCCAGCTTTTTGGATTATTTGCTCAGCATACAGGTTGAATAAGTATGGTGAAAGAATACAACCCTGTCGCACACCTTTAGTAATTTTAAACCATTCAGTGTTTCCATGTTCTCTTCGAACAGCTGCCTCTTGGTCCATATACAGATTTCTCATGATCACAATTTAGTGTTCCTGAATACTCATACTTCACAATGTTGTCCATAGCTTGTCATGATCCATACAGTTGAAAGCCTTTGTGTAGTCAGTAAGGCACAGATACTCTCTGCTTTCAGCCAAGATCCATCGGACATCAGCAGTGATATCCCTGGTTCCATGTCCTTTTCTGAATCCAGCATGAACCTCTGGAAGTTCTTTGTCAATGTATGCTCGCAGCCATTTCTGTATTACCTTTAGTAAAACTTTAGTCACATGGGATATCAAAGATATTGTTCAATGATTTCTGCCTTCCGTTGGGTCACCTGTCTTTGGAATGGGCACAAATACGGATCTCTTACAATCAGATGGCCAGATAGTTGTCTTCCAAATTTCTTGGCATAGATGTGTGAGTGCCTCCAGTTCTGTCTCACTTTTTTGAAAGGTTTCAATTTTTATTCTATCAATTCCTGGAGCCCTGTTCTTTGCCAGTTAAAACTTAAAATTAGTCTCCTCTTATCCTTCCTAATTGAATTGAAAATTAAACGAACCTTGTATTGGTCATTGTTAAAATTATGAAAAATACTTCGTTCTAGCACACAAATTTAAAAATAGCATTTGTATTGTATCAAGAGTTTTAAATTAAAAATAAATTGTTCAGGAGTTCATGTCCCTGAGGGCCCAAGCGTTGCAGACCGTCCAAACCATAGGCTCTGAGGATCAGACTTTAGCCACCTAGCAGACATAGCAAACTG